GGGGGGGGGGGGGGGGAGAGGCCAATGCGGCCGGTGGCCTTGCTTCAGGAGCAGGGCGGCGGCAGGGATGAGGGGGGTTGCTCCGTGGTCCTTCGTGCTCTTGGCGGGGTTTCTCCCCGCGTTTTCAGGGCTGAGGCTTCTCCTCAACCCCCCGCCGGTTTTTCACTGTTCCCAGCCGGTAAGTCGGGCCCAGGCGGGCGCGGAGCGTGGTCGTGCGCGGGCTGCCTGATGCGCGTGGGAAGCGGGACGGGGAGACGCGCGCCTTTTCCCCCAAGCGAAGCTCACTGAGTTCAAGGGAGACGCGCGGCTAAGCAGCCTTTCCCACCTGGTGCCTGCCAGATGTGAACATCTGGAAGGCACCCGGTTGGGGACGTTGAACATGCGGAGCGGCGGTTCCGGAAGTCGGTTCCTTCTTCTGCCTTGAACTCCCGTGAGAAACTTTAGGCAAAGCTCTCCGGTCCCCGTCGCCTTCTTCTTGGTTAAGGTGCAGGCTACCAGCTTTATTTCTTAAGCTTTTATGGATCAGGGTGTATCTGATCTTTCCAGGTGTCCCGAAAGGTTCTGATCTTGCAATTTTGGTCTTTGCATTTTGCTTTTCAGTCTATTTTCCCGTGGTATAACACCACAGAAGGTGGTATTATTTCTCTGGTTTCATCCATACACACTATTTGAATCATAGAATTGGAAAGGGTGGAAAGGTCACCTAGTCCAGCCCTTTGCTCAGGGCAGGATTCACTAGAACATCTGTGACAGATGACCATCCAGGCACTGAAGACCTCCAGTGAAGGAAACCTACCACGAGGAGAACTCACCACCGGTGGCAGCATTCCGGAACTTCATCCTAATGTCTAGCCTGAACCTGCTTCCTTGCAATTTTAACTCATTAGTTTTATGCTGGTCTATGAGCGTAATAAAAATTCGATTTGATAACCCATTCATTCTGTTCTGGAGCAATAGAGAATAAGTCTACTCCCTCTTGTGCGTGACAACCCTTCAGATATTTAAAGACTGCTATGTGATGTCACCTCAGTAGTCTCTTCTGCCAGCTAAATACACAGGTCCTTTCATGATTCCTCATTGTGCAGAGTTTTCAGACCCTTCCTCATCCTTAGTTGCAGTCCTCTGAACTTGCTCCAATTTGTCACTGTCTTTTTTTTTTAACTATAGTGTCCAGAACTGGTGTCCTGGACTCCAATTTGGGTCTGATCAGGGAACAATTCTCATTACCTGGACTTTGTGCTTCTGTTAATTGCATCCCAAGATAGCATTTGCCTTTTTAGCAGCTGTATCACAACACATTATGTATTCCCTAAGTGAAGAAATGTAGTTATTCTCCTCATTCTCCATCTCTTTCATGTAAAAAGAATGAGTGACTGAAAGTGGATTTATTCTCAATTTTATATCTAAAATTTTTATTTCACAGTAACTTCTTATATAAAAATACAAGCAATGGTGGTTCAGATAATTAATATAAACAAGCATCCAATATCTATCTATCTATTCAGTAAGTGCAACTAAAATGAATCATCAGCAGTTAGATAAAACACAGCTTATGTAAAAGTCATCAAAACAAACCATGTATATGTTTGTTTTGTTTTGATAGGGGATCATCATATAGCCATGTCCTGAACAGGATAAGCTCTAACGTTACAACTGAAATGTACCCCATGTGTTGTGTTCAGTTTCTTGCTTTGCATAAGCCTCATGTTTTCACTCAACACTGCATTATTTATTTATTTAAAAGATTTATATGGCCGCCTCTCTTGTAGCACACAACTCTGAGCAGCTAACAACAATAATAAAAACACAAACAATAGAACTAATACAAAAAGAAAAGAAAGGGGAAAAATCAAGAAAAAACAGGTGCCCAGTCCATAATTATACCCATTCATCTCTTCAGTCCCTGGGTTCAACCTTACTGTCCCAGGGCCTGGGGGGAAAGCCAGTTCTTCACCAATTCACGGAAGGCATTAGTGATAAGACCATATTTTTATAGCATTCTTGGAATGATATTTTGAATGTTGAAAATGTGATGACACTCCCAAGTAAAGCATTCAACATGTTTATGTTTGCTTCTTTTTTATTTTAAAAAAAATCACCCATTCACTCATAGAAAACATTGCTATCAACTATTACTTAATTCCTTAATGGGTGCCAGGCAATTACATTTTTTTTAAAACGAAGTCTATTTTCCACAAATTCTCAGTCTAAAAGGATTTTTAAAAAAGAAGTGGGGAGTTATGGGGCAGGGAAGAGAGACCTTGCAAAATCTGGGTCAGGATGAAAGAAGGAAAGATAGTTAAAAGAAGAAAATAATTGGCTTAGCTGAGCTATCAGGTCTGGGTTGCAAAAATCCGGATGACCATTAGTTGGTAGCAAAAAGAGATGTTTGTGCTATGGTAACCTGGATTTCCTAACCTGGAAAAATAAAAAGATACCTAGGATAATGAAGGAAGGAAAAAAATAAAAAGATACCTAGGATATTGAGAGTGCAATGCACTCTCAATATAGTGAGTCTTATTCAAGCAGTTAAAGGTGTTCCGCAAAACAGCAGTAAACATGTCTGTTATGCATTGTACAATTGCAGGAAACAAAGAATCTTGACTTCCAGATGTGAACACAGTTAAACATATTTCTTAACAAATGATGATAGTGAAGTTTGTCCATGTTTTTCTTGCACGGCTATATGAATTGAATATACATGGTAAGAGAGAGATGTAAATAGTGATGTCCAGAGAAAATGAATATAGAAAGTAGAGATAGTGATTGTGTGATTAATTGTGATCTTTCACAAGAACTCTTGTAATTTATGGAAGGTTTATCCTGGCATTAATACATTAATTAACAAAGTATATTAAACATCTTTAATTCAAAGAAAGTCGCCCATCAGTTTTTGTGCTTTCTGCATTTTATTTTCCTTTGACATCACTGTTTCAAACCCCCAATTTGAATCTAAGACAGCATTTCATGCATCAAATGTAGCAGACTATAATTCACAAAGCTGGTACAATAATAAATTTGTACTATTTATGGAGTCACAAAAGTTTAGCTTTTGCTGCAAGAGACTAACACACCTTGTTCTCTGGATATTGTCTCCTGGGGGAAAATCCATGTTTCAAGAGGGCCACAAATTAGTCATTTAAAATAATTCTATTTGTTTCTAGGATAATAAAAGAATCTGTAAACTTCAATCAGAATATTCAATACTGAAATGTCTAATATATTTTTATTGATAAGAATGCTTTCTTCCTGATGCAGTAACTGAAGTGGTATTTAATTTTTTTCTGCAAGTGACTTTTGAATGATAGCTGACACACTCTTTCACTAATAGTGATAATTCAGTTGAAAAAAATCCCTTTCCAGTTATTTTTATTAAACCCCATATGGCTACATGTAAAATATTCCACAATAGCATTTGCTACTCATTTCATTTGTATGCCTGTCAAGCTGTATATAACAAAGATGGCTTGTCTTCTGGTGAACGTAACAAGTAGCTCATTTCCTCCCGGTTTTAAATCTGCAGACATAGCAGAGATAATCACAATAATTGGCACAATAAATTCTGTCTACCATCTTCCCAACTTCATAGTTGGGGCAAAGACTAAGAACCTTGGTCATGAAGGGTCAGTTCAGAAAAGTCCCATTGGCATATTTGGCTCAAGAATAAGAAAGATGTGGGGTAGGAGGCAGAGATAGGATATCAAGCCTGGAACTCCTTCAAACAGAGGTGTTCACCATCTGCATCTTTCACTGTTCCTTCCATCAGCAAGGGCTAATGGTGTTGCTTGTCCAAATGGGGTGGAGGTGGTCTGGCAAGCACGATTTTTGCCTGGTCAAAATTGGAGACTCCTGCTTATGTAGATGATACCAGGGTAAGAGTTTCCTATTATTTTTGGTGTGGGTAAATAACAATGTTAATTCATTCCCCCATCTTTTTAAATTTGCCTTTCTTTTTCCCCATCTAATTATTGTGAAGCCTTGCACAAAACAGTTATATCAATGCTGCAAAATTTTTAAGTGTCATTCTTAGTCATGCAAGTACTGTCAACATTGTATTGGTATATTATCCTATTTTCTTGAGTTAACATTAGTTTTTTCTGTTTTTTGTCACATTAGTAAACCAGCTTGCTGTAGATTTGCGAATGCAACTTCTGTGTGGCTTGTCTATAAGCAGTGTCTAATTAGTCAGAATTGGCAAAAAGATGAATTTGCATAAGTATATCTTGAAGGTGGGATGGCTGCTGAAATAATAGGCATGTAGACGGTCATCTTTAATTTTAAAGTTACTCTTTAAAGGATTGCATAAACTGGTAGCTGGGGTAACATTTCTTTCATAGCCTCAGTACACAGAATAAGTGAACTAGGTGGGGTAATATTGCTTAATGTTTTAATGGTGGAATGTCATGTTTCCTCCACAGTTACTTCATGACAAATATGTGTATTTACACTTAGTGTTATTTAAATTAATGTATATAATTAAATATATTTCATTTAATCCTAAATAAAAGAAAGTAAATGGAACTGATTTAATATTTCAGTAAATATGCCTTCGGCACTCACATTTATATTGCTTCCATGAGTTCACATGAAGCAGTGTGAATTCTAGGTTGTAAACGTTCATCTGTGAGACTTTGCGTTCCTTCCTCTAACATTATGTTTGCTCATGTGAGTGGCTTACTTGTACCACCCATTAACCAAAATAAGCCTCAGAGTATCATAATCAATGAATCATTTGGGAGAGAGAATAAAAACTAATAATGTTAATAATGATGAATCCTTTTCATCAATTTTTCGATGAAAATTATTAATTACTTTGCTAAGTCACATTATTCCCATATTATGTTTAAGAATTCTTGATTCAGTACAGATTGAATTAACTGTCTTTAGAATAGCAAATGAAATGTAGAAAGCTGATAGTGCCTTTAATTTATTTTTAGTATTCTGCCTTAAAATCTGCCAGGATATAAACCTAATAAATAAATCTTTTTAAATAATAGCATGATCTACACATTTTTAAAAATAAAGGTAAGCCATAAAATGGGGGGGGGGTCCTTAAGGGACTCCTGCATAGAATAACATCTTAGAATTCTTTAATTTTTAAAGGTTTGAGAAAGGAAGATTTAAAAAGTGTCTTATATGACTCTATCTAAAGCACTACAGTACTTTCATTTTCTATTATTTGAATAAGTCAGAGTCGACACTGATCATGTTTTATTTGATCTTTTAAAAAATGTTTACAATCCATCTTTAAATACATCTTTAACAAGATAATCAACAGCAGATATGTGCTGTGGGAATAGTTCTCTGGGTTATTGTGTGGCTAGTGATGGTGGTAAGAGGGATTGAGGGATCCCAGAATAAACCACCCCTCCAGGAAATGACCCCCATCCAAAAAGCAACAGATTTAACTGCCATGTGAGTATGTGACTTCTCCCTATGTTTTTGCATTGCTTAATAAGAATCTTAATTGTGAAGTTTATGATACTCTCTGAGCTTGGTTGTTTGCAGACATTTCATAACCCAACTAGGTAGCATCATCAGTGCTAATAAGTGTGGGATTTGCTCCCTCTCTATATACAGTAACTGGCCCTGCCAGTGTTGGTGGGGGTGCAGTTTTCTCCTTGGTAGTTCCCTTGATTAGGGTATTGTTTTCTGCTTAATTGTTTGTCTGCTTGATTGTCTCCTTGGTAATTCCTTGATTAAAGTATTGTTTTCTGCTTGATTGTCTGGTGTTAATTCCTGCTTATCTGGGTGTAGGCTGCTAAAAAAGATATGTTCTGGTCTTTTTGTTTCCTTCTTAGCTTTCTTATCTTTTTTGAATGGTGTGTAAATATGGTATATCTCTGTATGTCTATTGATGGCTGATTTGTATGAATGCCAAGCTTCCAGGAATTCCCTATATAATATAGTATAATACAAGTGGGGATGAAATAGTGTTTAGTCAGAGTAAATAAAAATCAGGTGGTCAAAACTCTTCAGAATAAAGCATTGGCATTCAGTTGCCTTCCATTTTTATTTCTCTGAACTCCTACGTGCCCATAAGGATACAGGGACATCTTTGTGAAGTAAAAATATATAAACTGAAAGGCAGTGTTGCCTTTTGAAGAGTTCTCAGTTGCCTCGGAAAAATAATACATTGGAAGGGACATAATAAATTTTAAGGACGTCTTCAAGTCAACCTAAGATGGGGGTGAGAGTGAAGACAAAGCAAGAAAGGGCTTCTGCTATGTCATTTTGGTTATATGGGAAGAGCGAGTTTGGTGAATATTTTGGGGGGGAAAAAATAATAACTAGAGTGATTTTGAATGAGTATTGATGTTTGGGGAGGTCCTGAATAGGAGAGCAAACTGGGTTTTGTGTTTTAAGGTACAGATCACACCTTTGCCTTATGTTCATTTATGTGTCTTTTAACCTCAACACTTTGTGAGAAATGAGATTTTATGACTAGCACACTATCCAACCATTATCTTTTTCCAGACTGTGTTTCAAAGAAATTAGTTTTCTGCTCTCTTGGCTAATATGGGAGAAAAACTATAGGCTTTCAACTATGCTTCTTTATTTGATTGTATTGTTGATTAATATTGTATTGTTTTTTCCTTGTTGTGTACAACCTAGTTTTTACACAAAAGGAGATTTAAAATAAAAATAAATTTAAGACATTGCTTTTCCAGTTTATAATTTTATTCTACTCCCCACCATTACAGTCCTTGTAGAAAGACATTTAGTACCTAATCCTATATATTTTTACTTAATATTCAATGAATTGCAGTCTGCAATCAATGTTCAAAGTATTTGAAATAATAGTTCTCTGTTACTTTGTAAAAAAAGGCTACACAATTATTATGGAATGTAGCTTTTCTATCAATATATTATTCCTTTATCCAAGTAGATTAATCTATAGTCCTGGAGATCTTTGCTAGGATGTAGTCAAGGATGACATTCCAAATATTTAATGCATGTGTCTGTATCTGAATTAAAAATGCAGGTGAGTATAGATATTTATATCTATCTAATTCTATCTAACTAAATAAAATATAGTAGTTCTACTTTACTTTAGCAATTAAATTTAATTAGATGTTTGCTTTCTACCTTACAACAACATGAAGTCCTTGCCCAGGCTTTATCTTTCTTTCTCCCTCTGTGTTAATTTATATGTGAGAAGAAGACCTTTTTTTGTAAGTAACGTATTTATGTTCTCTCCTGTAGGGTTTACGCTGCCTTGTGCAAAGCAGTAAGTGCACTTTTTTGGTTTCCCCCTTAATTAACTTTTGCTTATTTTAGAACTGTAATACTAACTTTGTTCTATCCATTATTTTTATGAGGTTTATATTTCAGTAGGAGGAATTATAGTGTAAGGTAGCTATATCTCATGTTCAGTTCAAATGAGTTCAGGATCAACATTATGCATAATTTGCATGTAAAAGTAGACATGCATTCATATCCCCAACCAGCACACCTCTAATGTCACCACAAGCATTCGTTATACATGTATCTACAAATATATTAAACAAAGAAGGGAATATCTCACATCTGTGTCTTCCTGCTTAATGTTAAACCATTCATTAAGCATTCTACTTATTTTCTTTTTTTAATAATAACTTCATTAATTTTTTTTAAAGAACAATAAAAAACTAACAAAATATTGAGAAAAGAATATAGAAAGAAGGAAGGAGGGAAGGATTAGAAATGAGAGATATACAAGATTAAAAAGTGTGAAGAAAAAGAAAAGAAAAATCAAAGGGAAAAAAGAATTGACTTCCCTCCTCACAACAAATATACATCCAACTCTTACTCTAAGGTTAAAACATAACTTCCATTATTTCTATTAATCCATATTATTTCTAATAATCAAATCCATACAACAAAATTTCATTTTTTTCCATATCTCGCAAAAAGTCCAAAAAAGGTTTCCAAGTAGTATTAAAATTACACAGGTTCTTATCTCAAATCAAAGCCATCAGTTTCACCTTCTCAGCTAAGTCCATCAACTTCATCATCCATTCTTCCACCATAGGTAATGTCTTGTCCTTCCACCTCTGTGCGTATAAAAATCGTGCTGCTGTTATCATATATAAAAATAAAGTTCCATAGATTTTTTCCAACTGTTTGTCCATTAAACCTAAAAAAAAGGCTCTGGTTTTGATTATATGTTAATCTTTAATATCTTCTATATACAAATATGTATCTCATTCTAAATTTCTTTTTGCATTTTTACAAGTCCACCAAAGGTGATAAAATGTCCCTTCAGTGTTGTTCATATTTCCAACATACATTTGAAGTACCTTTATACATTTTAGGCAACAAATACTAAGAGCACATCATTTTATAAAAGTTCTCTTTAAGATTATAACAATGTAAATTTCAGTCCTTTCTGCCACATATTTTCCCATTGTTCCAACTGTACATTATAACCAAAGTTTTTAGCCCATTTTATGATACAATCTTTAATTTGTTCATCTTCTGTCCCAAATTTCAATAAAAATTTATACCTCTTTGCAATAGCATGTTCATCACTGGTACATAATTCTACTTCAAACTCAGTCTTACCATATTCAAAACCATTAACCTTGCATTCTACTTATTTTCATGCATGCTTTACTTCTCTTATATGTTACTTTTATTGCATTGAGCTATCAAAATTCCAACTCCATATTCACACAAAGCATTCCATAATTTAATCCTATTCAGTTTATCATATGCTTTCTCTAAATCAAGAAATACACAATAAACTTGTTTTTCTTAAAATTAGCCCAAAGTGCCCTTTTTGTCTACTAAGTTTGTGGTTTTAGTTCCATTCTTCTCCATTTGTTTAAATTCTCAAAAGTAGGTATTTTTGAATGTTTATGTAAACAGAAAAGTGGGATGTAAATTTAATAATAAAAATAAATATCCTAATAACTCTGAAAGTAATACAGTGGTGTTTATGGATTACAAATGTTTAACATGGAATATAAATGGAGCAAGTCTCCCCAAAAGAGAAAAAAAAATCTTTATTTGGAAAAATTAAAGCAAGACATTATTTGCCTACAAGAGACTCATATCAGAAAAGAAGATATACAGGTAGTCTTATGACCACAATTGGGAATGGAACTTCCGTTGCTAAGCGATGCAGTCATTAAGTAAGTTGTACCCAATTTTATGACCTTTTTACCGCGGTTGTTAACCAAATCACATGGTCATTAAGCGAATCTGGCTTCCCCCATTGACTTTGCTTGTTGCAAGCCTCCTGGGAAGATCACAAATGGCGATCACATGACCCCAGGATGCTGCAACCATCATAAATGCATGCTGGTTGCCAAGCACCCGAATGTCGATCACGTGACTGCAGAGACGCTGCGATGGTTATAAGTGCAAGGACTGGTCATAAGTCACTTTTTTCAGCACCATCGTAACTTTGAATGGTCATTAAACGAATGGTCATAAGTCGAGGACTACCTATAAAATATCTGACCTATAAATCCTTGGGAGAAGAATTTATTTCAGCAGATACCAAAAAGAGAAATGGAGTTGTTCTGTATATTAACCCTTTACTAAATCCAGAACTTGTATTAACTGATGAACATGGCAGATTTGTTGGGGCAGAAATTAACTTACATGGGTTAAAACTATGGTGTTGGGAGTTTATGCCCCAAATGAAGATAAACTGACTTTCTATAAACAACTTATGGAAAGATTAACAGATTTTTCATACGAAAATTGGTGTTTGTTGGAATGGTGTGGTCTCTCAGAAGTCCTATTCAATTGGGGATTGGAATGGTGTGGTCTCTCCCCAATTGAATAGGACTTCTGAGAAAAATATTAAAATTACTCAAGGTAAACTACTAAAAGTCTTCTTTGATTTGATAGAACTGTTTAAGGAAGTTCCATATTCTGCCAATATGTGTTTTTTACAACAGCTGTATCCAGCCCTTGCTAAATTGTGGGAGGAAAGCCAAGCCAGTGAGGGAGGATGGTACAAGCTCTAATCACAACCATCCACTATCTGTAAAATGGAGAACTCCTCTATTGCCAAGGTCATGTTAGAAGGTTGGGGCATGTAGACATTTTTATATATTAAGACATTTAGATGTTTAAACA